TTTCAGGTTCAAAATCTGAAGTCACGTAAAGATGCTTACTTTATCTGTCAGGAGGTTGTCTACGATATTTCGTTTCAAATTCATGTGTAGGTTCTACCCTAGGTTCAGGATCTGGAATGACTGGTGGATCATCAGGTGTTACGTCTTCTTCTGGTGTTGGTATATCTTTGTAAGAGGAAGACAACTTATGTGTTTTACTGATCGCATTTCAGGCTGTAATATTAGAGCAGGTAGTTCTTCGTCAAAAGGAACAAAAACTTCTAATTGCTGTAAAGATGTTTGAGATTCACTGCAGGAAGAATTTATAGGCATTGTCTTTTCCTTAATAAACACATCGTTTCTTGTAATTATGATTGTTCGAGGATTTGAAGAATTAATGAGACGGCAGTCTTTGCTGTCGATAGCATAGCTTACAAATATGCAGGTCTGCGTTTTTGATTCCAGTTTTGTTCGTTTCTCTTTAGGAACAAGAACATGTGCTTCGCAACTAATAACACTCAAGCAAGAAAGATTATCTTTTTTTGCCGTTCCACAATTCTCCTGGAATCTTGTTATTTAATGACTGCGAGGGTTAACGGTTCTTTTAATAAAAAGCCGTATTTATTGCGTTTGGACACACCATTCTGCTAAGGAGTATACGGTATCGTGGTCTGATGTACAATACCATTCTCCTTCAGTAAGGAAGCCATATCGTTATTTATGTATTCGCGACTATTATCTGAATTTAGAACTTTAATATGTTCTCCAGTTAGTTTCTACTAAATACTTAAAGTATGACTTTTGGTTTTAAAAGGTATCTAAAAACAGCTGGTTCGGTGAACTTAGAATGAACTCTGGTACACTGAGTAGCAGGAGAATCTTCTTTTAAGTGCAGCTACTACATTCTCCGACGTTATTTTAATGTTGGAGTGTTCAAGAGCCATTTCTTAAAGTTGGTATTCATCTGGCAGTCCAGTAAGCATGGTGATGGCAAGGAATTCATCCTTCAATCCAGCGTTTATATTCTGTAGTTCTTGTTGTATTGCTAGAGCTATATCGATATATTCTTGCATATTTCCATCATTATTTTTTTCCTATCAGAAAAATAATAAGTAAATGCAATATTTGTTTTTGTCTTGAATAGATACTGGAAAAATGTAATATCCTTAGATTTAAGCTGTAGTTCTTGTTGTATTGCCAGAGCTATATCGATATATTCTTGCATATTTCCATCATTATTTTTTCCTATCAGAAAAATAACAATTGAATAGATACTGGAAAAACGTAATATCCTTAGATTTCGTTACTAAGTTATTTACTTATTCGTAAAATATGACAATGTTAATCAGTTCTTAATAAAAACTTTTTATAATAAGTAGAACCGACTTCAAACTTTAAAAAACTTATAAATACTTCAATAGCATTTTCTTGAATAAGTCGCTTTTTAGTTACGAGTATATTAATATTATTTATATAACATGTGTAACACTCAAAATATGAAATATCTATACAAATAAAAATATTGAACATAGTCGAAGTCTTAGAATAGGAGATTTTGTTTATTTGCTCGAATTCTATATTCATATTTTAAAGAGAATGATTTGATTGCGTGTTTGTTTGCATTGGATAGGCCCCGAAACTATTACAACAATTTATAAAAGTCTTTCATCTACAGGAAGCTACATAATACTCGCTGGACATAGGCTGTAATTAACGCAGCCGAAGTCGCGGGGAAACAGGTAGTTTGATAGAAGTTGGTTCACAATTCAAGAAAAAATTGATGAACATGCCTAACCCAATATATGTACTTTCCTCATTGATACCTTTTATCAATGACTTTTATAAAAAATATACATCAAAGAGTAAACATACTCGTTGAATATAGAAAATCTTCTTTTCAAATTTGAATGAATTCTAAATACGCAATCTTTTGTATTTTAGCTGGAATGCTTATTTAGCTGAATCATCTTAATATTTAGGTGATATCTGTTGGACAGCGTATTTTGTTTTGTTGTAAAAGAAAAACTGCTTATTCATTTCGATATAATTCAAATGATCCATCAAGCTGTCGAATAAAAAAATCATTTGACAATCGGTCAACAATTATTGTAGTTATAGTGATATTTGATCTTGTGTTGTTTTTTTTTTAGTAGAGAAAGAATAATCTCAAGGAAGAAATGGTTAATTATAACTACCGTTCAGTCTCTTAAGTCACGTGTCTCTCTCACTATGGGATGCTGGCAAAATTTCCGTGTATAACGGAACAAGTCCATATTAAAAATAAAAAAAAAACTGATGAAAATATCTGTGAACATATATAAAAAAGACATACATCACCGTCGAAAATATAACCTTCTCCTTCTAGATTGCGAAGTCGGTTAATTAAATTATAAAATAAAATCGATAAAACTTCAACTTGACATCGAAATAAAAATGTTTTCACTGAGCCAAGTCAAGGTCGTTTTAAGTTCACAATAAACTTTTATATGTGGAAAATTAATATCAATAATTTTCCTTACATGGTTATTGAAGCATGAGCATCTATATCATGTTATATTAGGAAGTCGTAGAGCTGACGATCACGGACGACGACGACGCCCGTCTCGTACCCTGAATCGATATTTGCCGGGACGTAGTAAGCGCCATCGACCTCACCTAATCATTGATACCGAGTTGCGAACGGGTTACAATATTTTACCATAGACTCTGGCTGTCGACCATTAGAACTTGGATATTTTGAAAAAAAAAATATATAGAAATATCGGCAAGGTTTCAATCTTTCTTTATGAAGATTTCAATGAATTTTCCATAAGATCAGGTTAATTAGAAAAATATTCAATTTGGCGGATATTATGATGTTTTTATAAAAACTTAAATTTTTTTTTTCTTGAATAATAACAACAAAAATATATAAATTAACTGCTCACTTAAAACTATAAAATTATTATATTTGATCAATTTGGCATTCACAATGCTATACAGAAAAATATTCGTAATGAAAAGTGCCATTGACAAAGTGGTTTTTTTAAGAATTTTTCATAAAGAATAGCAATACATTTTTCCGAAACTAGTGTTTTGTTATCTCGAGAACCCGAAAACATTGGGTCTAATAAAATTTTTGTTCATTGACATTACTTATTGACTCATAAGTTACTATAAAAAGAAAAGAAATGATAGTCCATTACAACAGACTAAATATCCACGATATTTAAGTAATAATATAGAACTTGTCACTTTGTGAATTATGTTTGAAAAGTAAATAACATAATAAAAAAATAGTAAAAAAACTTGATAAGCCAATTAAGCAATAAATACTTGTTATTAAAATAAGCTTGACTTTAATTGTGTGTTGAAAAAATCTGGTACGACGACCAATCAAAAGATGTGATGACTCAGGCGCGTGGTGTGGGGCTTCCATAAATTAAAGACGCCCATTCAATTGTAGATGGTCTACTTATGCATTGTCAAAATTATAGACTTCCAAGTAACGTAATAAAATTTTATCGACGATAAAATTTAATAAATATGTCATTACGTTACATATTTATTAGCGACTTCATCTACGTGGGACGTATTTTGGTAGATTTCTTTTTTCCTATGAATGGAGTTGAATCGAATAAGATCAATGGGCCTTAACCCACTATGCGGGCTTAATGCAGATCGGTGGGTGTTAAAGTTGCTGATTCAGTCAGGACTAACGGCTTAACGTGCATTGTGTCAGTGTTGTGCACAGTACTCAAGATAATAATGTTTTGGTCTACCATCCTGTGAACTGAGCATTTTATTCGTACCTTTAAACCGTCCTTCTTTGGTTTTTTATCTTTTTAAATTATTATTTATCTAGTTGCATGCACAATCGGCTATTTATTGTTCTATTTTCCATATAATGCTAGGTTGCCTGGAAGAAATCGCTGGCTAGTTATTGCTATTTTATTATTATTATTTTAAGAAATGCTTAAAAATCAAATCTCGGATTACCTGCGGCTGGTGGTCTTTTGAACCACTTTTCATTAAAAGTAATTATAAACGGTCTGTTGCACAAACGCCCATTAATGTTCGTTAAGGTTAATAACTAATAAATGTCAAATTTGTATGGGTTTAATGAACGTTTGTGCAACTGGCTGATAGTCTTTGTAAATGCCGTTACTTTTGTGGGGCTCGGTTACGTAAAAATATCCTAAACAGATTATAGGCTTTAAAATATTGGATATTACAAAAGTACTTTTAATAAGTTAATATTTGAATTTGAAAATGATTTTATTCTTTTACACTTTTACGGTAACACACTGCTACATCAAAAAATATTGTGGCGGTTTTTTTTCACCAGTTCATCTCTCTCAAAAAGGAATTAAGCGAGGGCTAAATAAACAAAATATAAAACAGTTTTTTTTTTATATACATTAATATGAGAAAATAGACCAGTGGACTAATTCTCTTAAAAATTTATCCCAACTATTTTCAATGGTATAGCAAATGTAATGGCGATTTATGGGATTGTGTAATGTTTACATAATTCCATTAGTCATTTTTGGAACGAATGATCAAGGAACATAATAAAAACATTGCTAAAAGATTGTATTTAAAAATTAACAATTAATTTAATAATGAAATAACATTTTCGATACTTACAAAGAAAAGTATTTGCGTCTAACACTTGCCTTAAATTAAGGATTTCTTACACTCGATATCTGTCAAAAATATGTAGCGACCACAGTCGATATCACATCTCAAATAATTGTGGGGCAATTGCGATAGATTTTTAAAATTAGATATTAGGGATGCAAGAAAAAATAATCATTTTGAAATGCTTTACAACGATAAACATCTCCACTGGAAAGATAAAAGAAAAAAAATAAACCTGATCAAAAAGTTTTTATAATGTTTTGGTTCATTTAAATTTGGAAAACACAGATAATCCGATTTAAATTAAACAAATTATAGTTTTGAGTTTCTTTTTCATGACTCAATTGAATTGGTCGAAGTAACTTAAAATTAACAGAATCTTATTTTTTCTGTTTCAGCCTCCATTAGAATGTGGGATGAACGGCCGAGGGCCTACTTACTGCGAGCCGCAAATGTGGACACACTATCAGGTAAACATTATATTTTACACTATGAAACTTATATTTCCCGACATAATTGAAATAAAAATAATATAACTACATTCAAAGTGCGTGATTATATATTAAATATTATTTTGTGTTACTTAAAAAATATGTATATGTTACACGCGAATCGTTAATAATGGTGCTACTATAGTTTAGTATGTTATTGTAAAATATGTTTAGGTTGGTTTGATTACTCAATAAAAATATATGATTACTAGCTGTTCTCCCGCGACTTTGCCAGCATAAATGATAGCCTATGTTATCTGCGTATAATAGCTACCCATAGTTGAAAGAATTTTCATGATCAGATCAGTGTTTCCAAACATTAACATTGCGTCCCACAAACAAACAGAGTCAGCACTTAACCCCTTAAATATAAGTATCGATTGAAAAATTCAGATATTCCAATCATCATCATCATCATTTTAGCCGAGAGACGCCCAATGCTAATATAAAAATTTTATAATTATAAAATATTTATTTGCAAATGGTTACATAAGTTGTTAACAATTTTAAATGTCCGGCTTATTTTGTCGTCTAGAAGATGTGCGTTGATACATGTCCATTATTAATAAAAAGGCAATTAAATCAATTGTCATAATTACAATTAAAATACATCATATGGCATACACCTCATAAAGCATAGTAGTTTTTAACTAAGTTATAATTACGCATAAACATGATGCAAATATGTTGTAAGACATAATAATAAAACCCATAATCATCTAAATCTATATTCATATTTGTTATATTTTTATACAGCAAACTTTGAACCGCAGATTTTATTTATGCATAAATGGCCATATTCATAATTTTGTTTGACTTACTTTTATAAAGCATAACTCAGTAAAGCCATACTTATATAAAACATATCTATAAATACCCTTAAATTTATTAGTTACTTTTACTATGCTATTTACTCATACCTACGACTTTTTTTATTCGAGACAATAAAGTATGTTAAATGCTAAAATTGTGTACAAATTTTATAGTAAAAATAAAGAAATCGATATTAACACGAAATTAACTATATTAACCCGACTGGCTATGGTCTTTCGCCGTGGTTTGCAGTATAATTTAAGAGCCGGCGGCGCGGAGTGAGAGCAGCCCTCGCACTCTGCTGCTTTCTTGCTTGCATGCATGCATGTAACTTTGCAGTAGTATAGTAAATAAAAAAAGTTAACTTATAAAAATACATTTTTATTTATATAAATAAAATTAAAAAAAAAACCTTTAATACATATAAATTTTTGTTTTTTGAAAACATGGCATTCCTTAAGACTTAAGGGATTTTGCCGGTTATTCTTATTAAATATATGCTTTTTGAATGTTTCGGCGACCAAAAAATATGCATTTCAATACTTATGCTTTTCTATTAGTATGCCTTATAGGTTTCAGCCATATGATATGATGCGTCATGAAGTTATGCTTTAATGGTTTATGGCCAGTAATATTATGAAATGTCAGTTTATGACGAAAATCGTTATACATTTCAATAGGTAACCGTGATAGCTTAAGATGTTAAAATATGTTCTTTTAAGATATCTTAAGATGAAATATATGGCGTTTTAACCGTCCGTTATGAGCTTTAGTCCTTAAAATGGTGTAGTGTGTTTGACTGTTAAAACTTATAACTTAAATATGTTTAGATGGGTGTCATTGGTGGTGGCAGCTGGGCCGACGCCAACCCCACAGGAGGGAATTGGGCATCGCGAGGTTCTTGTTCACGCGAACATGCACGATACCCCTCTGACTGTCGCCAAGTGAAGGTTTCTACCATTTATTATATCTTATAAAAAATATTACCCAGTCCCATGTGACTGAAATAAGAAATTCAATTTTAAATGTTGTTAAATATACTGCCTCAATGTATAATATGCTTTTGGTTATGAAAAAAACGAATACCACTGTTTTTACATAAATGTCTACCTTATTATATCATCTCTAATTTTTCAATGTGCTCATTTTTTAGGGTACCCAAATTCACACGCCGAATCAAGCATGCTTACAAGACGGTAGATCAACGCCTTACAGAACATATGCAGATTCGGTATACAGCGGAGAAGGGAATGGGAGACAAGGAACAACACCTGAGTATCCAATAGCGTGTCCAACATCAGTAGATCCCATGAGAGTGCGCAGTCACTTCTACCCGGAGCCTCGACGTTCGCCTCCTGAGGAGAAGCGACCGCCTTTGGTACCGTTGCCCGCCTTCCAACAAGCTTTCGGTTCAACTGAAATAGGGAAATTCGCGGAAGCGTTCAGTCGCACCGAAGTTGCACTCGACGAATCAAGCGACAATTTCCCTTACGAGTCTTTCTCTGAATGGGATATTCCAACGGAACCTCAGTGGTCGTCACAACCCGCCTCACGTGAGATAAAATGCGAAGACAACTACTGAAACGTCATCGCCTTAGCATTAATTTCAGGCTACATCGCCTTAGCTAATTAGACAATTTTTAGTTTCAACACCATGTTGCCAAAAGCGTAGCTACGACGAGTTTGATGTTATAGAAACTTTAGGATGTGATACAAAAATTTGCTATTGTGTACGAAAAAGTTTCAATCGATCGGATGAATAGTGGTGTGGCGTTTAATTTATATATACATTATGAATGTAGAAAATTAATTAGTTAATCCCTTTAACTAGTTTTAGAGTGATTATAAATGAGGAAGGAACGCTAGTACGGGATTTTATGAGAAATAGTAGGTACTGCATTGCATAGGATAACAATATAAATCATGACTCAATGTGCCTTTTTTCGGAGAACCCGGCCGTAATTCGCGCGGCGTCGCTCCACTCCATAGCAATGGCGTTAATATGTGGATACAATAGCAATTATAGGGACCAAAGTTTAGACAAATATACACGAGACCCGGCCTCGGTGCAACAGTTGATAACGTGCGATAGCCTCAACGAAACATTATAAGTTATTGCCACAATTATTACCTCGGCCAAGTTAAATTACTCGATATTATTTAACTATTCTTAATGAGAAATATTTAACATAAATATTGGCATTTTCAAAACTCGATATTGTCTTAACGGTGCGTTATTAAATATTCTAAAAGTTCGATTAACTATAAAAAGTCTGTTCTAAGTTAAATCAAAATTTTTTAACACTTCCCAGTTATCATTAATGTCAAGATTTAATCAAGGAGCCGGTAAGACGCCGCGCGGATATACAACATTCGAAATTTTTCAGGAAGTAATAAAAACAAGTCATGTACGTAGGTATTTTAGGTAGCTAAATTTGATAAAATTTTTAAAGAGATAACTTATGAATAAAATGGCTTTTTAATTAAATATTTAGGGGTCCAACAATGTCTATGTAAAATGTTTGTTGTGATTTAATTGTTCTAGAATCACAACTGGAACCATAACACAAAATACAAAGTCCCAATGCCTGTAACACTTTAGCGATACACCATGATATAAATTAAAAAAGTTGGTGATGATAATTTGTTGACCGCTAGAAAATGTTACGTTATTTGTTATACATATTAAATGTTCTAAAATATGTTGATTGATAATAACAAACACCATTTACTGAATTCTTTTTTTTTTGTTGGTAATAAAATAATTTTGAATAGTCGAGCTACGAACGTTGAGCATTGATTTTGGATGCGCAAATTTATGTCTACGAGGCAGAAAGTGGCATTGGAAGATGGAAAACAACCTAGCGGATTACCTGTTGTTTTGTTTAAAAAAACTTTTCACTTGCAATATGTATGGTAATATTATAATATAAATAAAACAATCTTAACAAATAAACATTTTATGACTTTAGTCGAGCTCATCGTTCGTGGTTGGAACTGTGACATTATTAAAACGTGATTTGCTTCCTTTAAAAACATAGCAAACCCATTACTATAATTCTTATTTCTTATTTTTATTACATAAATTCGACAAAATAATATCGATAATTGATATCTTCCATTAAATATATATGTAACGGTCCGTAAATTATTACCAAACGTCTAAGTCTAAAATTAATTTGTTTGAGCTTATATCTGTAATTACATTGTCTTATTAATGTGCGGTGCGTGAATTTACGAGTAACTTCCATTGGTCTTCATTTTTATAAAATAAATCCTATGTGTCAGTATTTTGAATCTCTTTTGACAGAAAATAAAACAGCAAATTAATGGAGTGCCTTACGTATTTAATATAATAATGAAATTAGGATGAATGAATTTTACTATAGCATAATTTGATGAAACACCATGATTTGTTAGCGTAATGAAACTTCTTTAAACCGAGTATTTCATTAATTGGTAGTTTGTAATTGTCTTAATGAAAGTTATTTAATAATTAACTTTACGATAAACATACAAATCATATAAACATATATACATATTTATTATATTTAAATTATGGCGTGCACTAACGATTTAACGTGAGTGTAAAAAAAAATATTATTAAGTATTCATTATTTGAGTAGTTGATTGATTTTGAGTGTTATAGTGTTTATTATAAGTAATTTTTAAGGTTTTCTTTGTGATATATCCTTTTGATTTTTTCGAATTTTCGGAAATTGTAACGTCTAGTCAAAATTAATAATTGTTAACGATTCTTCCGTAATCGTAGATTATATTTTCATGAGCACTACATTTTTTACTTTTCAAATATAAAACTAATAACACGTGTTAGTTTAAAGTCAAACGGATTTTGTGCCACATTATTGTGTATATATCATACGATAAACATCTCCCTAGTTAATCCTATTGTTATTTCTTTAAGAATTAGTGTCATAATTTCATTGTAGAGAGATGTAAAGACCATATATTATAAATATTATGATTAACGTCTAGATGTTCCACGAATAGAGCTTCCCGTTCAACAATCTCACATTCATCAAACCTTAAAAACTTGCTCATAAAGCTTCAAATATCATTCGATCATAAAACATTACTTTGACACATCGATACTTTAATCTCTAGCATAGCTACGAAAAAAATTTATACAAAAATTTGTAAGTAATAAATATATCTAAATATATATTTATTTTCCTATGTTTCCCTGCATATTATTTTTATATAATTTTTCACATTATAACATTACATTTTAAAGGTACATTCTAAATTGATAACAAAGTATAGGTCTTTATAATTTCCATCATTTTTAAGAATTAGGCCAACAAAATTTAGATGCGTAAGTATTATGTAAATTTGTTGAGACAGTAAAATACTGAACAAAAAAAATAATGATATGAAGATAGAAAAGATTTATGTACCTATGTAGTTATAATAATAATAATTATTATAATCTTGTAAATACTTAATTATATTTTGAATGTTTCACTCATATCAATCTAGATCAACTGTTTTATTAGCAAATTTTAAGGTTTCGAATCCGAAAACACAGATATGTTTGATTTATGGACGTCGATGTACGATTTAATAAACACATTATTATACTTACCATGTGTTGTTATTATTTCAACGATCATCTATAAACCTAAATTATTGATTTCAAAAAATTTTTAACAATATGATAATAATAATAATAATTTTTTATTTGCCTTAAACATGGTATAAAGGTGTTAAAATTGTACAAAATCCTCATGTTTCGCCATTTTCAAATAGCATGCAAATCAGTATAATGGAATCTAATACAGTCACAATTATTACAATAAAATTATTAAATTCTTATTATGCTGAAATTATATGTCATGTTAAAAAAAAGTCAATGTAATATTCTAATTCCTTTTGTTCAAAAATTCGCTAATACTATAAAAATTATTACAATTTAGCCAGGCATATAATTTTCTTTTAAACAATCCAGGCGTTAAAGACTTCAGTTCATGTGGAATTTTATTATATATTTTAACGCACATAGCCAAACAACTTCTCACATACTTATCCGATTTTGGAATTACATTTAATATAAGTCTATCAGGGTCTCGACGATGTCTAAATTTTTGAACGTCCTTAACTTTTTTGAATAAATGATTGTATTTCCTTACAAAGGTACACACTTCCAGAATATATAATGACGATAGCGGTAATAAACCAAGTTGCTTAAATGACTCCTGACATGATTCATCAGGTGGAATTCCACAGATCGCCCTGATACATTTTTTTTGAGTTATGAAGGCTCTGTGATAGTCTGTGCTGTTACCCCATATTATAAGACTATGATTTTTTTTTTTAAATAAACGGTTATTTCTTTCTAGAAAACTCAAACACAAGTATAAAGGTACCGATAAAAGAAAAATACAAAGTTACTTTTAAAATTTAGGTTTTCTTTTTCTTTTAATAATATATTTACATGAAATTAACCGATAAGCGCAGAAGACAATTCATGACCGCCTTTGTAGTTTTTCAGAATTAATAACTATATGTAGTTTTATGGCTTCTCATACCATCTTTATTGTTGTTTTGGATTTCCATTATATTTATATATTTATTAATGTAAAGATTGCACATTTTAATGCAAAACTTAGATGAGTCTTAAACTTAGTCTGGGAAAACATTTTAGAATCTTGAATAGGTACAATTTATTTTGGAAAAGTTATATGTTCCTAAAGGATTATTGTTTCAAGAAGAGCTCGAGAGCACTGCTAATGCGTTCTGTTACACCATGCACGAAATTGTTTAAAAAAAACTTGTTTAATTGCACTGTTTTTATTTTAAATTATTATTATTATTTATGATAACAGTCACTGTTACTTTTGCCTTTACCATTACTTCTTTTGTTATCGACGTTTAAAGATTTCGCGTCGCTAAGAGTTTCTTTGCTGAAAGCCAACCGGCAGGCAGAAACCGGGTCCGTAGGTGGGCAGGAATTTCGCAATCAGAACAAAGACTGACAAAATTATTAAAATTACGAGTTTTTATACACTGATAACAAAAATCAATAAATGCTATATATCAATAAATGGTAAAAGTGTGTTGTCCCTAAGTCAGCAACATTCGTGTTGTAAGTGGTAATAACAGTTCGTTCTGCAAAATGGTGACTAAGCAATTTTCGTATTGGTTGATTGTAGGACACAAAATTAAATATCCCCAGCTTCTCTGTGCTTTGAAATACACGATAGGCCGTTGGTCACTGTTGTATATAGCCGTGAATACCCACCAAACCGCATTGAGCCCGCGTGGTGGGTCATCGCTTGATTACACCCATACGGCGGGTCTGCACTCATCCAGTGAGAACATCAGCAGGCAGATAATGATAGGCTAATTTCATCCATTCAAAAATATACGAACAAATCCAAAAATATCAATTTGCATAAACCCATATTTTCCAGTAATCAACACTGATAAGTACAAAACTGATAAGTTTCCCAATTTAATAAGTTTAATGCATTGGACGTAGACTTCAAAATTCATTAAAGAAATTTTACGTATTGTGGTAGCCTGACATGCATCCGTGTGTACATTGAAACAACTAGCCCAAGAGTTCTATAGTTATTTACTTAAGTATATCTTAGTATGTTTTGCACGCAAACAAATATCCATAAGTTCACGAACTCAAACTATATCAAATGTATAAAATTCTCTTGTCAAGTTATTACACTTTTATTTCCCATACTCCCCCGAAACTGCTTTATCGATTATGATGAAATTGTATATGTATATTAAGTAGGTTCTATTCTCAAGGTTGTTTCACTCCTTATATATAAAAAATATCATATCTAAGTAAATGTAAATTTACTTCGGAAATTCTTAATTGCCAACTACCTTTTCGAGGAACCTTTTCACTATACATATTACTTTTAACGCTATCAGAGTTACCGCTATTATTAAGTTAATGATAAATAATAAAACACATGTTTTAATATATTGAAATAAAAAATAATCTTGTTAAGAACTTAGATAAAAATCTAATGCCCGTTTTTACTAAACTTAGGAGTCGCCCAACTCTGTCTTCATATTTAGGAATCGCCTTATCTGAAAATACATTTCACCAATGACTAGGAACCATCTAACCACTGTTAAATTTATTCAATGCGTTATGCGGCGCCTTGCGCTAGGCATTTGCGTAATATGGGTTAAGATATAAAGGAAAAAATGTTTATTTGAAATTAAACTAATCTGCTTAGGCGATTCGTAAAATTAGGAGTTTCCTAGTTAAGCTATGGTATATTTATGTATATTTATTCTAGGTAAGTGAAAACGGGTGAAATATTAATTGTAACATAAGGGAGTTTAATATAATTATTACTATTTTTCGAATTCACGACTATCTAAGTCAGCTAATACCCTATCTGTATACCAAATTTCATCAAAATCCGTTCAGTAGTTTCGGCGTGATTGACCGACAAACATCCAAACAAAGAAACTTTCACATTTATAATATTAATAGGATATAACAAATTATTCCTGTTTAAAAAAATGAAACAATCGTTTTTATTTTATATTTATTCATAAGCAATAAAAAGTAATTTTCCGTGTCATAATATGTAACGTATTGATACAAGAAAACAAGAATACATACATCCATTTGTAAATTATACTTACCGTGTTGGAAGCCACTGAAGGATACTAGATTCAGAATATACGGTATATAAATGTTGAACAACATGTACTGTACAACTTGGCATTGATATTAGAGTTGACAGGTGTATCTGTACAATTGTATGTCCAAAATATTTTGAAGGCACTTTTTAGGCGATTTGATAATATGTCAGTATAATTTTATTAATGGTATATCGAAATAATATTTAACATATCCCATTTTATTTGTATAAATTATAAAGTTGCCATTATAACGCCCTATATTTAAAGCAATCTCGTACCATATCTTAACATCGATATGTCAACGTCGGTCAATGTTAGATTTATATGTAAATGCTCTGTGCGTAAACAAGTTTGCCAACATTTATATTACCGATCGGAATTTACAGGAAATTTCATAATTCTACTATATAATATATTGAAAAATACGACAAACTCAACACTTAAACCAACACAATATGCAAAATATATAACCACGAAATTATAAAAGTTTCAATACTTATTAATAACATTAGTTACCTTCGTATTTTACTTCAATTAGTCTTTCTAAATATTCATTCATTTCCCTACATTACTTTTCAAATGTCATTGAAGTATGAAATACAATCGCAGTTAATGAGCTCATTCTTCATTTCAATTTTCACTCATATTTGTTTATTCATTTTATTAATTATATTTTCTTAGTATAATAATATCTATAAATTGATTGTATAAGTTCGTAATTATTAAATTCGAATATTTTAACATATGTATATTAATAAACAGGTTTTATTTCAAAAAATTACAAAATAAATATTAAACAATATAGATAAATTTTAAAATATAGTAGTGTGGTCACAATAATAAATAATTTTAATAATCTAAGATAATGTTTATTTTATAATAATATAGATATTTATGTTTGAAAGAGTCTCATGTCAAGAACATGGAGTAGATGTGAATGAGTTCTTATACCTGCAGTGATATGTTATCAAGTTAATACAGTTTACGGTATTAGCGGTTTTTTTATATTTTATTAAAATAAAAGTTTAACATTAATTTCAACTAATGAAACTTTAATTCTATTTCTCTACAATTCTACACTTTTTATTATGTTGAATAATTTAGAGGCTGACCCATAAATTTCATATTCATTTTTTTAATCAAATCAATATTACGCTGTTCGATTCACAAGAACACCATGTCCTTGAGACACTCAAACACAAAAACAATTGTAATTTGACAATATTATATTTAATAACTCAATTAAAAAAGTTTACTATACATGTTATATCATTCGCCTAGCCTATGATAGAACTTTCGAATTTGATCACGAAGAGAAATTATTATCAAAACTACCTAGTACTTGCCCAAAGGTTGAGTGCATTTGAACTATAGGGTAGTGAGTATTGCATTTGCCAACATGACGAAATGAAACTTAAATACATTACGACTAACTACTCTCACGATATATTTATTCATTAGTTATGTTGATGAGACAACAAGCACAGGTGTAAAGGGTACCTAATTTGGCACATAGAAGGAGTTAAGAATGCCTAATAATAAATCATACACCAAAATTATCACGAAAGCGTTAGAAAAAAATACAAAACAAAAGGTATCTGTAGCTTTTTCAGTTCGCTTTTTTTTCTATAGATTTTATTAATAAGATAAGGTAAACATCCACTAGCCCGCACCGGCTGTAACGCATGAATGAAGAAACAATAGTGATTTTCTATAGTTTTAAATGAATTACTACAGCAATGAGTCAATAGTTTCATCTAAGTTGCAAATTTTCTATTCATAAATGCCGACGGTCGGTGCAATCGGTACTAATACATAAAACGTCACTAATTCATAAATACGTTGTGTGTCATGCGTGCGTTGCCGTGCGGCCAGCGGATGTTCCCCTTAACTGTGATTTATTTTATTGTTGCCTTTTTACACTATCTAGTAAAAGGAGATCAATATATTTTTATCCAATTCTTTGCTATAAACAAAATGAGGTTATTTGTCAAACACTAAAGACGTAAGAGAGTCTTCTTTTAATTATTCATGCATAAAATATATATTTATGAATAAAAACTTATTTTATATATGAACAGCAATTTGAATTCCTCACTCTGTGTACGTCTCTAGTATAGAAAAGTACAAAACAAAGTGCTTGGTGATGATTATGGCAAGACGTGAAATGGTCGCCCTATATCACCAAGAATCATTATATATTCCAACTCTTTTATCATCTACAACTGAATCGACTCTATTTTTTTTTCATTCGCTATTGATATTGTCATGTATATGTATGTTATTACAACGAACCTACGCAAGAAATGCGATCACAGGTCCAGTGCGCCTAAATAAAATTTTAACACCTATTATATAATTTATAATTATGACAATAAATGTCGGCTGAGAAGATTTGGAAGAACAAAGTGCAGTTCGGGTCGTGGCACATTTGATTTGAGTCCAGTGATAAGAATTACATGTACAGGCATTATATCATTCACTCATGTATACAATCTTTATCGGTGTTACAAGTGAAGAACTTGACCGTTAAAACGTAGTGTTTCATGAATATCTTTATATATAAAACAGAAATCCGAATAGTCGGGTACCAGGTAATATTTAACTATTATAATGGTATAGGAAGAAATAAAATGATAACTATTAATTCTAATAACGGCAAGGTGTATCAACTCTAGTTCACGAGAAAAGGTCGTTTGAGCTTGACAGTTTAATTATTCGTGCGGCGGCATGATTCTTAATCGGTTTAATGATCTCTTAAAATACCATTTATTCGACAGAACGGTCAGTGCATATTTGAATTTATAAATTTGTCCCTAGTCTAAACGGTTCTTCTATTTGGTAGTCATCTCATAAAATTACGAAGCTAGAACATAATACTGATATGAAAATAAAATGATCAGAAAATGAATCGTTATGAATTGTCACTATACTGAAATTTGGTGTACCGATAATATTTGATAAATTCAGTCCGTGTGCACTAATGGCGATGATCTGGCGCTAAAGATTTGCGGCTGGCGGAGAGGTGTGCACGGGGCGCGGGCCGTTGGCTGCGGGGTAACGTGGTTGGTGCAGAGGGCGCGGGGGTCGCACCACCCCCCTCGCTCACCATCTCGCGCGGTTTCCACACCGGCGATCCTACAACACACCAAACACCGAACTCTTTTAGTAACCATAAAAGTCGCGCGGTGCAATTTAGAAGGTGGCTGCTAGCTGTTTACCGATCGCCAGGATATCGCGAGCGCGCGAGCAAAGAGTCGAATGTTTGATGAGCGTTGTAATTAAGGTTGCCAAATTTCTTCACTCTAGATAGACGATAAATTATTATCATGGAAAAAAATTAATAAGTTGTAATAATTGAAAACGTCTATTGTAAAAAGTAAACTTTCTGTTAACATGGGCTTTACTAATATATCTATATTATTGGCAACCCTAATGTGTATCCAGCGCCCGAATGGGCGAGCGAGGAAGGCGGGTGGCGACGGATGTCGCTGTAGGACGGCTCCCCGGCCAACGTCGTCATCGAACATTCAAGAGGATCGCTCTTGCTACAGTGCGGCGGATTCGGTAGGTACTCACTTTTTGTACTATCAAACTAGGCTACGATTAGCAACTACGTGCATACACTCCGCAGATGTACTCCAATTCTTCCTTCCATAAATAAATGATCAGGCCTATTTCTATTCGTACACTTACAGTATAGAATATTCTAGGTTAAATTTCGTAGGGGATTGGTAGGTACATCATTATCATAAGCTCTTTGACTATGCAGGAAGATAAATGAATGTTTTCGGAGTACACCTATTAAGTTTCAATGTCGTCTCTCCATCGTATAAGTATAGAGCAACACTAAATTCAACAGATAATTTGTGCATAACTAACTTTGAAGCGCTACGTGAGCAAAAAGATTCTTCTAATTTATTCTAAGTATAATCAAAAGTTTTAACTTTATTAATCACGGCATTTTACATTATCGGCAGTTTATATCAGTTATCTTTCATATAGAGATATGCCGACCTGCTTACTCTATTGATGTTAAGAATAAGTTTTTAGTGTATATTTTTAGACTTTTTTTAAATTTCATGGAAGAATTAATAAAATACGGCCGTGATTAATAAAATACGACCTAGTAGGTGTAATGTTTTTATTATCATAAACTATTATTTAATTGTATGTATCAGTTTATAGCCTACTCAAAACCTTTTAAGTATATATTTTAAAACTATTTTATATTGTTATAATATTATGTATTGATTGTTTCACTATTTTTATTAATGATATTTATTCTACCATGAGTGTTCTTACTGCAGTTTATCTGCATCGGGATAACATTCAAATACCTTTTGATAGATTGCATACACAAAATTCATATCAATTATTAATGATAGCTAACCTTGAAGATTACTACATGTAACCCCAATGCTAAGCAAGTAATATCCTACAATAATCATTCACAATACTCTAATATTTTATGAGTATTCATTTCAGGTTAAAAATTATCACAACGCAAACACATAAAACTTAATTCTAAATTGAGCAGAAAGAAGAATATTCTTTTACGAAAAGCAAATATACATAATATATAATAGTACCATTAATAATTACAGGTATTTTGAAATGGAAGACTCATGGTCATCTACATAAGTAATTAATAACATTAATCTATAAGGATGTATAATAAATAACAGACGACAACGAAATTAACAAGAATGACACTAGCACGAAAGTGATTAAGGATAAACATCAGTACATTTCCACAGCCATTATTATGTAACACTTAGCACTTGGATTAACTAGATTATATATATTTTTATTAAATACATACATATTAAGATTGTTATTTATTCGTTCTAAGTTCCTGAATTTTTGTAATTCTAAATACTTAAATACAATAATTATCCTACTAAGAATACGCTGGATTCATAAATCCGTGATTTAAAATGGGTTATAAATTTGAATATAGTTTTACGTATACTTCATTTGAACAATTGTATTTGTTTAGAACTCACATTTTAAAATCAAACGCACTATGAATCCTTCGCTAAGTTTTATTGTAAATATTAGGCTATTGTTTTTAATTATTAAAGTAATTATCATAAAATTAATATATTTCGAATATATGTTGATAAAATTAGTAAAATTCGAAAAAAAAATAGAAATCCGAATAGATATTTATGTTGTCATCACTAATCAATTCCGTTTAGTTTAGGATAGTTTTTAGACTAAGTGTTTAAATACACACACAGCATTTTGATGACGATTCATACCTACCTACTCTGTCATACTCGATGTCAATCAACAAACTAATAAAGACACACAATTAATGGTGTTATCGTTTTAAAATGTAGATATTAATTGGAGTTCTTTAATAGTAAAAATTAAATAAACTAATTTCATTTAAACATGTATTTGATCATATTCGCTGTTTTCAAAATGTCGTGCAGGGCAAACTCCACGGTCGTTATAGCCAACGTCCTCCAGAGTCTCAATGCTACTCCGATCCGATGATGTGTTCCTCATAGGATGCGAGGTCAAAGACTTTCGTCTAGATTTGGGCGACTTGCCCTTCCCCTTATGCTAGGATGTTTTACTCTGACGTTTTCCAGAAAGGTAGCACTGTACGCAAGTTGGCCGGTCGATAGTTTTCGCAATCGACTCGGTGGATTTGGATACAACAATACCCATTTTTATAGCCTTATCCTCAGCCTTAGCCAATTGGGAGTAATGTGTCATCCTGTCAAGAGAGTTGGTGCCGAGTTTAGCTAGTTTTTCGCCACTAGATTTAGATGAACGACGGCTTACGTTTGGTGATTTACAGGGCGATCTATCAAAACTAGCTTGGGGTGTCCGCATTATTCCTTTCTTAGGAGCAGGCCGAGGTGACTTGGCTCGGTCTATGCTACTTTCTCGAGATTTCATAATGCTACCTCGTGGGGATTTAGTGCCATCGAAACTTTGTTGCGGAGATTTTGACTTATCAATGGATCCTCGGGGCGATTTTGATTGGTCAATGCTACCTCTTGGTGAGCGGTAAATAGTCTTCATCTGTTTTAAGCTAGACTTGTTAGGGGATTTACAAACGATAACTTTGCTAACGCGATCGCAATCTGGGCTCGAATGATCGTTAGATCTGTTAGGAGATTTGTCCCTGTTAATGCTACTTCCGCTACAGGAACGTATAACCTTGACCCTTTTTTCTGGGGTAGTTGAAGTCTTTTTTTCTGGAGATGATTTCAATGACTGAGATTCCTGCTTACCTAGTTCTTTAACCATCGTTGGTTGGTACTGTGTTGGTTGGTGTGAAGATTGGATGAGTCTCGCTTGACTACCCGTACTGCCTGCGCTGAGCGTCGACGTTGTGCTGCGGAATAAACAGATCTCTGAGTGTATTGTGTATTGTTGAAACGCAGACAATTATTTAATCGATTCATAGCCTGATATGACATTCTTTGAATTTGTTTTAAATTCCATGATTCATTTTTAACTCTTGGTATATAAATGCTATGACAATGTGCAAATATAGGATGTATCGCTTGAAATTTAGTTATAAATTAACTTATGACTTCAAATCAAACGTAAGAGATGCAGATTTCTAAATGTTAACTAAAACATCTTTCATCGTCTGTGCTAAGCTAAAGCGTAAAATCGACGTAGGCAGAGATAGTGACATATGTATGAGTAAGACAAGCAAACCTACTAGTTTATTAAGTAATAAAATGTGAGGAGTCTGGTGGTATGAATTACGGTGTAGGTGTGTTAGGTGGCAACCCATACATATGTTGTACCTTAGCGTGAGGTGGTTTGGAGTGCGCCCTAACCCTCGCTTGGCCGGCGGCGGCGGGGGGTCATCCTCGCCCTCAGACTTTGAAGGCTCTGACTTGTCTGTGTCTGGTGGCGGCGGTGGCGGCGCGCGCTTCACACCGCTCTCTGCGTTGCGCATCACGCACGCAGTTAGTAATGGATCGGGTTAGGGTGAGCCATTTCGAATGTAACACTTTTTAGTACCTAATCATGTTAATGAGCAAAACACCTAACCTATATTTAATTTAAATTGACAATATATCAAATAATTAAAAATAAAAAGATTTAATACCTCATGCTGTAATTAAAATGTAATTAAAATATATATTTTATTATTAGATGGGCAATGAAGTAAGGTAAGCTAATGGAAATAAGATAGTTGATGTAATATGATTATTTAGTTAAATATTGTCAAAGTTAATGATGAGCCATGTAACAAATTATTCTGAATATCAGTTATACTTTTTTATGTAAATGAATAAACAGTGAGTGTTACATTCGAGACGGTGACCACAACATGCGTTACCATCACATAAATATGTAAACGAACATATCCCATCAAGTGCACAAGCTATGAGGTTGGATAAGGCAGTATGACAATTGATTAATTGATACGATTAAACATAAAATCGACTAATGACATTTGTTGATGGAGGTATTCTAAACATTTTTAACAAATATTAAGACTGCTACGTATATTATTCTTACCAGAACTGTCGCCAAGTGTTTTACTTCTATGCCTGAAGGCAGGTTCTTCATCAGGTAATGGTTGAGGTGGTTCATCGGCGTCTTGTGAGTTTTCTCGCGAAAGATCACCAACCTGAAAAATATTATTTCATTGAATTGTACTTAATACAGCATAATATTGCTATAACTCTTAACTTCATGTTATGGTAACTATGGTATTTATTTAAGTTGTTTAGTACTAATATCTACTAGCGTTTAATTGTAAAATTTAAAACTAGGTTGAGTTAGGAATACAAAGTTTGGGATGAGTGAAGAAATAGGATGAGAAGTCATAGGATGAATACGGAACAACCCCTACTTCATCTTTGAGTATACCTCAATATTGCCCGCTGATAACCGTTGGCCAGAAGTTTTAGGTTTTTTTGTTTTGCCAAGTGTTTGGGATCCCTGCATCACAGTCACCTATAATCAAATATTGTATTTTAATAGTTGTGATTACGAAATTACCACATCACCCAGCCCCCAGGCAATATAGAAAAGGCCATACATTGATCCGACTCTGTCTACAGAGGTTTTATATACCTGATGCTTGGGTCGGTCACGGTCTCGTTCGAGTGTGTGCGGTGCGCGCGGTGGCGGTGGTGCAGGCCGGGTTGTAGTAGGTAATGACATGTTGCGGACCGACTCACGGATGATTTGCCGGATCGTCTTCAAGAAAGCATTGCGGAAATCCGCCGTACTATGAAGAATAAGTATCAATATCAGGCATAAAATATTTAAATTTAAAATAATGTAGTAGAAATAGAAAAGTTGTCAACAAAATTATAAGCAAAAATAAATCTTATATGTGAAGAGCTAAACATAGTAAAGTAAGTAAAATAGTAAACAAAAGTAACGGAATTGATTCTAGTATAGCTGAAACAATGTTAAAATGAGGAAAAAATTAGACAAGGTTATTGATAAAAAGGCCAACGCGAGCAAAAAGAGAAACGCATCATAAAATTAATACGAGTATAATAGATAGCGCTGTTGTCAACGAAGCATTTAATTAGAATAGAAAATCTACTACTATGTAAATGAAAGATAGATTAATAGAAAGTAAAATCAAATAAAATCACTTTAAAAGTAATAAGTTACGATACAGGATATTAGTAAAAACTATGTAAAATTGTTCAATCACTTCTTCATTATGAACCTAGTGGTAAGTATTAAATGGGAATGCAAGATATAATAGTGTATGGAGTATATAGAAAATAATCTACGGGCGTTATTTAATACCTTACAGCTTTATATAATCATAACATTATTGAGAAAAATAACCACCTGGTTTACGAAAACTTGTTGTTTTCTATTGTCTCAAATTACGGTCACTTTATGTTTAACTATTTCAGATTGTATGTTATTTAATTTTTGATAATTATCTTTTGCTATTTTTATCATTAATCGATATTGAGACGTAGTTTCAGCATTGCGAAAAACACGATTGCAGAACGCTTTCTAGCCGTCTACATTATGATTTCCCCGTAGGCACGTAACGTAATAAAAATACGTATCAATGTAACTCTATCAAATTAAAAAAAAATACGTTTCCACATTAAAAATTTTATGTGTATTTTGATATTTCTGTGCCTATCAGATTTATAAAGTTCTGAGTAGTTAAATCCAAATGGAAATCTAGCTATATAATGAATAAGGTTTTAGTTCTTAATTATATAAAGACGTCAAAACACGTTTATTGAGTAGTTGAAAAGGAATTTAGTTTCACTAATCTTGTGTAAAAAAATAAGATAATAAACCTACAATTTAAACGCTTTTTTGAAGTTCTATTGGATAGGCAACTAAAAACGAGTGTGATTCATGTATATTTTCAGTGGGTTGAATCAGTTAAATTTTAAAAACTACCCTCTGAACTATCTTTTACCTATTTGACAATACGTAGACTTTTTCCGAACGCCGTTGCAATTGGCTTCGGAGATGTATTAGCTCCCAGAGGAAGTGGCTGTCCATATCTTTCGCTGAAGAAGCACGCACCTGCACTTCTGTTACAGGAATCAGAACCTGATATCGGATTATCTCCACCTCGTTACTGTTATTCTTCGATGACACACCCTGGTAAATCAATATATATTGATTATATATAAATATTTACTGTAATATAGATATGAGTCATTTAAAGATGGAACGTAAATTTTACAATTTTTTAGCAGCCTTATTAATGTAAGTTACAAAATATGAATAAATTTAAGAAATTTCGAATAAAATATTACTAATATTAGTATCAGTATTAGTCATACCATTAATTTTTTCTTCTGTCTCAGTCTTTCTTTACATAGGAAGACAACAGCTGATTTAAAAACAAAGCACATTGCATGCAATTCTAATCCTTTCTTAATTTTTCCTAAAAAGTCTGAAATATTCAACCATTCTACTCCGCCGTAGTATAACAAATCACCTGAAACAAATTAAATAGGATTAATTAAGGTAAACGTCAACATGAGGATTTTGAAAATGTTTTTGTTTAATATCTTTACCAGGACTTAGATCTATAGGTTGTTTGCATGATTTCTGATGTTGTCTAAACAAATGATCAAATATAGCACCGTATTCTTCGTGTATTCGTTGCATTTCATTTATATGTTCAGCAACTTTCTCCATTCCTTTGAGAGCGTCTAGAAAGAAAATAATATAGTTCAAGTTAGCAAAGTTCAAAAGTTTCTACGACGCCATAAAGTTATAAAATTGGTCTGCGGAATTACGTGACTCACCGATTAAATGGTTTTGTTCTTCGGAATTATTTTCAGTCAAATTTCTCAATTGTTGTAGAAGCAGCGGATATTTTAGTATCCTTTGGATTGGTTTTATTAAGTAAGATTCTAATGTCGATGAATGTTGTTGCTTCGGATTTCTTGCGGCTAAGAACTCTTGCAGGGCCTGGTTACCTTCATCTGTTGAAAAGTAATGGCACGTAATTGGTTCTATTCGTAAACAGATTATGATCAACGGTTGAGTGGATACTTACTTGGATGTAAAACCTTCTGAGCTTTACTATGACTTGCACAGAAAGAACTGTACAATTTGAAGTGATTGACGTAATAAAGAAATGCATTACCAACGGCGAATAACACGTCCTGAAAATGCAGTAATGAGCAGTTTTTGAAAACTTAATGCCTTAGGTAAAGTTACAATGAATAAACAAGATATATTATTACCATAAACTGACTTGATATAGGATATAGTATTTACCTTAAACTGACTTGATGATTCGAAGTGGTGGAAATTTGGTTCAACCTCGAGTGCTTCCTCTAAGTTTTGCAAAAATTGCCTCTGGAATGTTACTATTTCTTGTATGTTTCCAAACAGAGCGTTGATTTCGGCGTTTGATAAAAAAGTCTCCTTTTTCAAGGGCTCCAAATAGTTTTCCAGTAAGTTGTTCAGGTGCTGCAAAAGAGATCTCGGTTAAGGGACTTTTACGTCAAGGTCTGTTAGACCCATTTCGAAAATTCATAAAATTTATGAATATTCTAATCATAGCGGTAGCTGTACAGGTGCGGTCGGTATTACTTGGGTTTCACGAAGTTTTAAATACGTTTTATAAATCCATCAGAACTTTTCAGCTCAATGAATATTTATTTGAAGTAGGAAGTCCATCAATTTATTCACCCCGGAGTTTCCGAATGAGAATGTGATGATGAAATCTTTATATCATTGAGTATTACTTTAATACGTTTAATTTTAATGAGTGTGTGGCAAAAAATTTGAAAGATGACCAAATTTATTTATTGCAGATTTTTGAAGTTAATTGACACAATAATAAGGTTGATGACAGGTTAAAAAAAAAAATTGTCTGTTTGTTATTGGACAAATATAAATATTAAATAATAGGCATTAAAGTTGAGGAATAGGGTCTTGACGTCACAACTACATATTTATGTATAAAATGTATAAAAGTGCGATGTCATGAGACGTTTCAACCCAATGAATCGCCTTAATTTATTGAATACGCATAAATTAAAAAAAAAACTTTAGTATTCTCCAATGATCTAACTGAGAGACAAAAACAAACAAAAATAAGTCATCATCCCTATCGTCCTACCAAATTTGACTAAGTAAGACAGTTCTGCCCTAATTATATATATAAAAACGAATAGCTAAATTTATGTACGCGCTTAACTTCCAAACGACTGCACCGAATTGAATTCTTTTTTTAGCCACATATGTGTTCCGTATAGTCAGGACAAGCTTTGTATATAAGAAAACGTATAAAAAAAACGGGGACCTCTCAATACGAAGTTCCCGGGTCAGGTAGTTTTTACTAAAATTCTATATTAATTTTCTTTAAGAAAGATGCCAATTATCCCATACATCTTTATGATTTATAAATCTAGTTATTTAAAGCAGTGTGTCTTTGTCTTATTAATTATTATAAGATAATTAAAACACATATCATACCTTTACATAGGCTCGTTCAGTGTCGACGAGTTCAAGTAGGACCTTCTTCAGTTTATCTACATCAGATAGGTGTCTGGAAGGAGTACCAGCTGCGCCGCTTACCACACTGCCAGTGGGGCTGCCTCGCCGCGTGTCAGCTGGCGATCGACACCACCCAGTTACTTGTTCGGCACTCTATAGTAACATAAGACTAAGAATGAATATGCATATTTCCAATTATACGTTTCATTGGACTTTTATTAAGCCTTTCGCTATTTTTGTACCTGAAATCGTAAATGTGTTTTATTTATGTAATTTGGAATTGTGAATATATGTTGAAGACATATATACATACGTAGATTCTTAAAATCAATTTTAAAAATGATGGCGTGGAAAGTGATGCGTTTATAATCAGTACTAATATAGTCAATGTATATAGTCAGGTATGATATAGTCAATATAATCAATAGCATACGAGTACAGAAACGATACTAAAATACAGGAAAAAATTTGTGCACTGAAAACAATTTTCTCTATTATTCTTCCATTAATAATAATCACTGTTAAAAATAATATGGCAGACAATTATTTAAATAAAAAAAAAACTTTTTTCAATCAAATGTCTAAATTAAAATAAACTGCCCAATTTCGCCTTTATCGAGCATTCACATGTAAATTATAATGAACCATTGATTTGAATAAAAGCGTACAGGTACCGATTACCATTTGTTTCAGTATATAATTCATTACAATTTCTGTTATTCGAAAATTTCAGTCGTAATTCTTTAATTGTGGAAGTTTGTAGCAATTAAAAACATTCGCACCGGGTTAGTCACAAAGTGAGATTCGCCTAACAAAAGGGGTTTTGATAAACGTTTCGTCTTTACGAGTGTTCAAAGGAGATCGGTACACGATCCACGGGCCAGGTATGATAATAGGGGAACGGCATTAAATTGTGCCTACTCCATTTGATTCGCCGGAGAATATTATTTCCAAGAGAGACATTACCATGCGGGTATCGTAGCGATATAAAACGTGGAATGGTCTCTGGCAAATGGATAATTGAATTTTGGAATTAAGGCGCGGTCGTACGTGTGAAGGTAGCAATCTAATTTGTATTATTATACCGTCAGGTACGATAAAGTTTTGATAAGAGTCAAATGTGACCTTTTCTTCCATTTCCATACCAGGTATCTTATTTAGTTAAAAATTGTTAAACTTGTCATAAAGGGCTTCAACGAATTTTTTTTTAAGTAGGTTCAATAGAATGAACCTCTTTGCTATAGCAGCGATGCGTTTGTCGAAACTTTTTTATAGGGCTTTTTTATAACAGAAAAGCGAAAAATGGAAAGGCTCATATGATAGGATTTTGAAAAGATTTAAAACTGTATAGTTTTTTAATTTTGTTACATTTTGGTTATACGACTATTAAGTCACTGATTTCAAATATTAAAGTCTAAAATATAAGAAAGTATAAAAAATACATGAGCTATATCCTGTTTAAAAGTTGTTTAAAAAATTTTTCATACGGTATACAAAACTTAACGTTTACAAGATTATTCACTCTATTCACACAAAAATCAACGAAACATCACAAACATTTGTTGATAAGTGTTATTGAAAAGAAAGTTAACTAAAAATATACCTTAAGCAGATTCTCTATCTCGAAGGAGTTAGTACGAGAAGTGACCTTGGGTGGTCCGGCCGCAATCCCATTGCCATGTCCATCTGTATCTGGACTGTATAATTCTTTACCTGTGAAAAAAAAGCAAAATATTCTATTCAGTTTAGGCACAAGTATTTGCTGTGCAACCGGTTGCTTACAGTTTTCATTTCAATATTTATATACCGGTTAAACTTCAAAAGCTATAACGTACGCTACAAGATCTTTTGATGGAAAGAATCCCTAGGAATTTCGAAATGACGATTCTTTCCAGATCACCTAAAATTCCATGTTTAATTTGAGACTTATTCATCAAACATTATCAATTGTTGACACACCTATTTGAAATCAGTTAAATATGTACATTTAAAAAAAAATCTAAACTCAAAGTGTGCGTAATGCTTACTAAAAATAGTAAGGTGATAACCTTTTTCAGATTCAAATATTTCGGATTCTAAAATATTCTTACGAGTTTGTTAGTATTAGTCTATACATAGAATAACACAAAGCCGCTTCCCAATGTCTGCACGCTAAGGTTTTTTAATTTTTTAATCCACACTATAGATTTTAATGTGTCCATAAATATAAAAAGTGATTCAAGAGAAAGGTTCATATAAACAATATAGGACTTAGCGAGTGAAGCCGCTGGTGGAAAGTTAATAAAATATAAAACGAAACCCACGCCTCTACTTCAAAAGATTCTTCGTCTTCGATTTGTAAAACGTATGTCTCTACATAATATTAGTTTTCATTTCTTCTTTTCATACAAAGACGTCCAGTAACGCCCTTAAACTACAGTCAAAACGATGACCGTTTGACGACAGCCATTGTCGATCAGATAGTTCGTGGAATAGGAACCTAGAGTTCGCCAACTGAATTGACTTCTTTTGTATTTGATATGGGTCGAAGTTTCTGCGTCTGATATTTTCTTTCATTCGATTATAGCAATCCATTAATTATGCTGCTTGAATACGTTAAATGAATGAAAAATGAATGCTGCCGAACTATTATTTAATGGTGTTTCCAGGTTAATTAAAAATAAAAATAATTATTTGAAAAATATAATTTCACAAAAATCGAATTTCACTAAATCAATAACATTAACACTCAAGTCGACCCCATATGGTTTCCGTGATTATGACTCAACGCCATAGAAATACTTACATCAACGGAAAGGTAATAGAATAGAAATATATTTTTCCATTACTAACGGATCTCACCATACAAACATTTTCTCTCGTCATACTCTTAATTAATATTAACGCGCTTAGACGCTTTGTTGAGCATAATATCTGAACTGAAATAGTTAAATATAATATAATAAAGACTACGCCTAATAATGGAAAATATACATACATATTTACTTGACTTACAGCGTGGAATTAGAACCGCTAAAATGTTTTTAAATTAGTTGCAATTACAAGTTGCAGGTATCAAACTTTTAACAAAGTTTCCTAAATACAGATGGTCATCTATAATTTATAATATTTGAACTGATTATGGTTTGATTCCTTTGTTATTTTATAATATCCATGTTAATAAACGTTTACGAATCTTTGACGGGAATGGGAATATAAAAGAATGGTGTCCTTTAATGGCATTTTATTGTTTATAGTGACTTTGGTGAAATAACACTATTTCACGAGACTAAGTCTATATTTTAATATTATCACGATAAGACCCGGAGCTCTCCTTGCATGATCTCGGAAATATTATTTCCCATACGAAGGGTCATTTGGAAAAAAGGTGTCATGATATGAAAGTAACCTTTATATAATTAAATGATCGTAAACATGTTCTGTGAATTTAGAGCAGGAACGCGAACGTCACATCTTTCTTGTGAACTTCTCTACATTCTTACACTCACAAACTCCAAAGATACATTAAAACACCAACTTTTTAGTGAAAACAGAATACTAATAATTCACAATACTAGCTTGTATGGGCTAATAGTAAAAGTAATTTCGTTTACGGTTAAGGTACCTTAAACGAAATTATTTTTACTACGACATACATTATTATAATTTTAGCTGCCAAATATTATTTTACTGAAGGACAAAATATGTTGGATATTGTAGTGTTTGTACTATCTAAATTGCATAAGATATTAAACAAAAATGGAACCCCATTATTTAAACTGTTCCGCAAACTTATAAATATGAATTATAAACACCAGTTGATCTTGAATAGATGGCGATAAGATCATAGCATCTACAATGATTACTAACGTTTAACCAACCGTCATATTGACGGTAACACGTTAAACCACCCATAACCGTAGATTGCAATTGCAAACACGCTATATAAGATATGTCGCCAGACGATATCTCCTTTCACGTTCCACAAGAAATTGAATTGACTGCACACATCCGGAGACGAGACGTTATATTTCGTAGGTATTTTAAGGAAAGTCATGTACCGTGTATACATATAAAAATATATCCCTACCCACAATTGTAATTGCCTAAACTGTTAATCGAATTTTATTATGAGTATATGGAAGGTAACTAGATTTTGTCTAATTAGTTGAGGAACAATTTTATTCCTATTGTTAGCTATTCACTCGATCTCCGATATCGCTCAGAAAAAAGAATATGTCATGGCCATTGAATGAATATAACCGACTATTATATAAACCTCTATTCATGCCAACTAACAGGCTTCCATATCCAATAAGGATCTTTTTAAGTTTCCGATATTACAGCGTTATAAGTCGTTTTCCAATATCAGCAGTGGACATAACTAGGTCTATATAGTGGAATAACCCTGGCCGTTTCATATTGGGTAACACAATGAGTTTTAGATGTATAAATACTATGTGTTATAGGTTTTGTGATCTACCAGTAAATTACTTCCGAGATCCCATTAATATTTCCTTTTGTTCTTATCAGCCGTTTAGTTCTTTAAGTAGGTATGACATTGCTTGCATTAAATATAAATATAACATTTACAAAAATGCACAAGTCGCACAGCGCAATTCTTCTGCAGTAAAAAGTTATGAAATCAACGTAAACCAAGTCGATTAATGCAGTACCTATCTTTCTGTGAGAGCAGCTATCCTTGATCATTGTCAAAGACTTTGGAATACTTAACAAACGCACACACAGATTAATCACCTAAGTACTTTTAAACCAATAAAGCACAGAGCTAATAACTTTATATACATTTTTTATGAAACATTATTTTACCATATCTATGCGTTTGCCAAGTATCCCTAAATTAAAATTTAATTTTAACAAGTTGTAAATAAATAGTTACATTAAACAAAAATAAACTTATTTTTATTCAAAACTTTTGTCGTTATTTATTCTATAATATGCCTTATCCGTATATGTTTGGTTTTAATATTTCATTTAGTTTTTCATTAAATTCATTGACAATTTAAATATCGGTTATTAATTTCTAATTTTATATTAACTAATACCTTATTACTTATTTATCAGGACCTCAATCTGCATTAAGCATACGATTGTCTCGCAACGACATAATTTTCTCCATTTAAAGTATAAAATATATTTGCAATCTAATAATAGTATTTGTAGTTTGCAATCCTTCCTGTCACAAAGCTTAAATAAAAAAAAACAGACCTTATGCGATTTGGACCCGGGTACGAAGGTCTCCGTACCGGAAACGAACAAAAAATTACGTTTGCTGTATGGGTACCCCCCTTAAATATTTGTTTAATTTTAATTTAATTACTTATATTTAAATTTACTATGTAAATACATATTCTGTAAATATTACAAGCGTCTACCTGTTGTTCAAGCGTCTACAAGTTTTCAATAAGTTTATAAAAACAACGTTTAATGTATGAGAGGCCTCTAAAATATTTATTTTATCATGTTTTTTTTTCTCTTTTCATAAGATACAGTCTGGTGACAGACATACAGCGAAGTCTCAATAATAGGGTTCCCGTTTTACCCTTTGGGTAAGGAACCCTTGAAATGAAAATCATAATCAAAAACATCACACGTCGGATAAATTTCATATATGTTTCCCTGATCTATTACCATAATACGTGTAAAAAAGTTAGGTCTCCTACTATATTATTCAAAGGGTTACATAATCATGCTATCTGGAGCTTGCAGTATACCAAAAAACATGAGTGTTTTGCTCAACAAAGAGAAAAGCAATGAGTTTTTGGGCTGTGGTCAGTAAACATTGTCAGGGTAATAGCCGGAGGACGGGTTGCGACCTCTAGCTAAAAGCCATTAGCTTTGTTTTTAAATATGTACTTAATCAAACCGTTAGTTGTTTAGATTCTTAATTAAGGCGCATATAAACTATACCCGAAAAGTATTATTTTAATGAAATTGATGGAAAATTGAAGTTATATACGATAAATAATAATGTATTTATTTTAAAATTATGCAATTATTAAAAAAATGCTACTGGTTTAGTCACTGAAATAAATTTAAGTAATAAAGCAACGAAAATATGTATTACGTAAACTGGGACAAAAATGTCTCATAGAAAAAATCTGATAAAATTTAAACAAATTTTTTCTAACATTCACACTGCTTAATACTAATGATATTGTAATATTCCATTGATGATGTTTTGATAAATCAACATTCCCATGATATTTTCGTTAACAACAAAAACAACTATATAAATCTATTGATGCATTATTGAAAATTGACATTAGCAAAGTAGAATCTGATATCTTAATCTAGATAACGTACCGCACTAATTTTCATTGGATATACCCATTTATTTATCCGTGCGTTTACAGGCTGCTCGTTTAAAAATTTAATTTAAACAGTTACTAGCTAAAAAATAAGTATTTTATAAACAACCAAAATACCCACATATAATTTCTATTACAATAACACGTCAAGTTTATTGGAAATAGTGTATGCCAGCTTTTGATTAACTGAGAAAGTTATTTTGTGTTATTCTGTATAAACAGTTATTTACAATTCCCTAACTCACATTTTCCTCCGTGGAATAATCACTGAGATGTAATAGGGTAGTGATTCAATTCTCATAATAACATTTCATAGGCAGCAGTTACATAATGAGATTTAGCAGCAGTTACCCGGTCCAAATCAAGCGGTAAACGGCTTTAGGATGGGTCACGGACTGTGCATACTGTCGGTATTTTTAGAACCCGACGGTACACAATAATAGAAATAGTTACAAACTACAATCGCCATTGACACGCCAAACTACCATTTGTGGATATTTTTATATAGAAAAACTCAACTGGAGAAAGAATATTCGACATATATTTGGGTTTTATAACAAAGAATACGTATAAAGGTCACGATTCAAACAGTTTAATGAAGACAAATTGCAACAACATCCGCATCCGCAGGTAACAAAAAAAAGGTCCCAAAAAGGTGTGAAATGATAAAATATTTTTAAAGAAATGTATTTTTGGGTCACATATTGAATTCACGTCATTAGGAGAGAAAAAACAGACATCTCGTTTGGTGAATATGTCATAATAAATAACGCGTTTGCGGCAGTGAGGGGCGGTATTGTTCTATATAACGCGCGCTCGCCTACGTCAAGCCACCGATACTCATATAGGTTCTCATAAAACAAACAATGACTGCATGCCCGGCTCAATGTATCCCCATAATTGCCTCTTATGTTTCACAAGTGCGAATACTGTAACAAATCACTTTGAACTCTACAAGACCACCAAGATTTCCAGACCGCTGATTTTAAATAATGAATTACGAAATACAGCCGCACTCGCCGAAATTAATGAAGAAAAAGAGGAAAAAAAGCATTGTAAAGAAACTAGTGTGAATTTATTTATTTCTTGGGAAAACGTGGCTTGACTTTCGTTGGATAAAATTTGTAACTGATCCTACAAATTTGTGAAAACAACTGCCCGTTTCTTAGTTTAATCAAGTGAGACTGAACGACGTATAAAAATAGGCTTTTGTATCCCGAATGTTTTACCTTTTTACCCTTTAATTTTGTGTGTTCGACAAACAACAAGGTTTTGTTGCTATGTAATCCCGACAGAAGGATGCGAGAAGGGGTTTGTATGACACTAATAATATCAGTATGTCAATAAGCGTTTCGCTGACTCACAGAGTTAATAAGAAACGAATGTTGTTTTACATATTTCAGGCAGCTCTTGAGCGGAATTGTTAAATGTAAGTGAACAAAAGCATTATGTCGGATTAGATATATCACCAATGTAGACAAGATGGCGTCTCGCCTGGTAGGCAATGTACGATTATCGTAAACTCTGCGGCGTGCGATAACGACGAACGTATGTTAGGTAGGTACACATTGTATACCTATAAGCAAGATCGATAATCCGCAGAGCAAGATTCAGAATTTTGTAATTCACGATGCAAGCTGAATGATAGCCACAATTGGATTCAATGAAAATTGTGGGCGGTTTGGAAACGATGCCAAGTTATACATGTATTCTCCAAGATTGAACAGTCATTTATAAAGATATTTATATTTAGGTACGCATAATATAGCTTCACAAAATTTTCATACCATATCGCTTGAAAGGATAAAAATATATTGCCTGGAAGGATACAATAATACTATACATATTTACGTAACTTATCGCCATATACTAAGCTGTTAACGCGTCAATGTTTCGAAACCACTGCCGTGACGTAGCCTTACCTTTATGCTTTTATTGATATTGACGTAACTGTGAAGCGATATAGCCTCACGAAGGGCAAGTTGAAAACGTTCCGTAAAGTCATCTCCGTGGTAATCAGGCCACCAGGCCATGGCCGTGGATAAATAGAAAACACATGAAGAATTTTACGCTACCGAGTTGAATTTGAAAATATACTCGTGTATGATCCTAAATGTGGTTATATGGTATATTTCTTATTCAAATTTAAATACCTACGATATTAAAAAAGGCATATACACACAAAACATTTAATCTAGTACACAAGCATTGCGATTATCCATCAATATAAGTCAGTATAAGTGTATTACCTAGGTCGATGGGATTATCAATACCCCGACGATTTTGATAAAGTGGAAAACGCTTCAACATTTTATAATGGGTAGATATTTATAAAACAATTGAACGTACGACTGTCTGTGATGGGTAGTGGAAATCGATGAGTAAATTCGATTTACGTATGATGACAAAAATATCACAAAATATTTCTTAATAAAAATTATTTAAAAATCCACCTTGTCCCTGGCACTCTACGACTGCTTTAACCACTGTGCTACCCAGGACCTATCAGGGCTGACAAATTGTTTCAAGCATTTGTTACTTTTTCGCTACTACAGAGCGTATTTTCATCAATAATCTACCCGAACAGCCGAAAGAAATATTTTTACAAATATTTAAACTTTCGATAAAGATGATTTTTTTTCTAATTATTATATTTGATTAATGTTGCATTCACAATAATATAATATATTTTTTCCTATTGAATTCCATCTAAAGGGAAGGACTGTATCCTGTGCATTAGATAATAATAGAAATATAAAACTAAATATTCCTTACGTATCGGTAAATAGGGTTATTTAGTTTTTATATTTCTATTATTAAGCAAGAATATACGCGCGAATAATCACACAACTTGCGTAAACTGTATATTTTTTTCATGCTAAAGCTAATCATGCTGAAAAAAATTATCAGCGGCGAGATTCGCACGATTTTTCGCTTTCTACGCGGTCGCTTTTATCCTCAGGCGGGCACATTTTCCTCTTCAAGTGCGTACGTGTAGCAAGTCTCGTGAGACAATTTTTTTTAGTATACAATTCCTCATAAAAAGTATTTCTGAGAGAAGTTGGCATCGAAGAGATTTCAAACCCTTTTTTTATTTATAACTAAATCGTTTTTATTTGTCAGCTGCAACAAAAAGTTTATACTCACTCCAAGCAGGTGCGGGCACGATGAGACCTGATATCATGTCATCGGATATAACAGGAGGATCACTGGGCGGTGGTGGACACACCAAAGAGTCTATGATGTCATCAGTTGCAGCGCGCATCATTCCCGATAACTCTGGTGGTTCAGTGCGTGAAGACCTGGCAACAATACTTGCTTATTGTATCATTACTAGATTTCCCCATAAGTTAAATATGCCCTAAAATTTTATGTCAAAATATATAAATAAGTATATTATACTGATAAAACTTTTAAAAGAATTTTTTATAGCTTTTGTTGGATTTCTACATCGTCTTTATGAAAACACTCTTAAAAAAAGAGTCACAGTATAACAGGCAGCAATAACATTTGTTTAAACTAATTTTTTTTTTAATTTTTTTTTTTATCATAATATATTTACTATGATGTCACAGATATGATATCTATATATATAGTGTACAACCAAGTTTGTACTGTCTGTATCATCACCAGCCCTTTTACGTCCCCACTGCAGGGGCTCAGGCCTTCCTTATGGATGGTTAAGGAGGATGGGCCATGACCCTCCACGCTGGCCCAATGCGGATTGGAGGGTATTAATGACTGCAAATGCAGCCGGGGCCAACGGCTTAACGTGCCTTCCCAAGCACGGAGTAGCTCGAGATAATATTTTTTTTGGTCACTCATCCCGTGACCGACCCTTGCGAAAGTTGCTTAACGACTACGATCGCAGGCTGCGGCGCTTATCCACTACGCCACCGAGCTACTCGAAGATGATGCCAAATTATCTTAATTATCAATACCAAATTTATGTTACCTAAAAATAATAAAATACAATTTAACTTACTAAATTTATTCTGTTTTAAAATTAAGAATAGTTCTATATCTATTTGGGTGTATATTAAGTACAGAATAGTTTATTAAAATAGTATGTGTCACGTTTTATACGTATGCAAGTTATTATGTGATTTGAATTTATCTGGTTTTATGAAAGCAACGTCTGAATTCCACAACGAACACCAGGAATTTATTCCGCACCCTAAAACTAAACGCGAGCGGCATTTTAATTTCAAATATTCTGAACACAAAAACCTAATATCTGAGGCTGGACTTTATACAAACTAGCAGTAACATATTTTATAATTGTAAATTTATTAAAACTTTTGTGTATCCCAACAATAACTGTTATTTAAAAAGGTTTTAATAATTCTTTTCATACAATGTTAACGCCAATATTTGTTTTTTGTGAATGTTGAAACGATTCAACAATGAGTAATATGATATAAACTTTTACATCTTCGCGTTTTATATGTAAAAGTTTCTTCTGAATACAAGACATAGGTTTAATACTTGTTGATCGAAGTTTAATACGTAAATATTTATATATTATTTATTTATTGAAATTCCCAGTCAACTAACAAGTTTGATATTCAATATAGATATGAGATAAACTTATTTTATAAAAAGTAAAATATGTATTTTATTATACCCACAGAACATAAAGAGCTATGTTCTGTGGTTAAACCTAATAGAAGGAAATTGTATAATTGTATAACAGCGTAAAAAGTTAAGTAAGTATATTTCAAAATACGTAATATAATAAACATATATACGGCGTAAATATAAAGGATTTAAGTAACAAATAAAGCATACGTCACGTATTGATTAACATTACGCAGGAAAAAAAAATGCTGTGTGAAAAATCTTTGGCACATTTTCAGGGACACATTAGGTGGGTAGATTTTATACAAAGGAAATCTAGTGTACGTGTGTGAGCAATGAGCTTACGTTTTGTTTGGCTTTCATACAGGTTCGTGATGTTGAATAAGGTAAGAGAATATCGAATAGCATTGGCAATTGCAGCATCAATGATATCAATGAGATACTCGAGGTCGCTAACAACGTTATGAATACAGAGTATCCCCCTTTTGTGTCAGCGCTGAGGGTGAAACTGAGATATTAGCATCACCGTAATTATTCTCGAAAACTTAACTTCAAACAATGAAGGCGCTCCGGCTCAAGACCGGAACGGTTATATCGTATGAACGGAAAGATGAAACAACTCCTAACAATAATATCGCGTGGCGTACTTGTTTCAAGATGATATTTGTTGGGGAATATTAATTCACGCGACTTGGTAACGTCGAAAGGCTCAATTGCGGCTATACACAATGGACGCTCTTAACTTTTAGATAGTGCGCGTGGAACTAAACTAAGTTTATTTTATTTTACTAGTAATAGTAACTAAAGGCACCACTTTTAATAATTTTCTAAAATAAATAAACGCTTTGAAATACCTTATACTATGAATGGAATATTTACAACATAAACCTACACTTGATAGTTTTAAATAATTTCATTAATATAATAATATATTACTATGTATTATCATCATTAATCTCTTGATTGATTGATATCAAATAATTTAAAATATTCTAAAAGAAAATAAATACTTTTCACGGCTCATTATAATTCTGGTATATTTAGGATGAATGTAAAATGTGCATTATGAGATTTAAGAAGAAACAAGTTTCTGGTTTTTTGTAACTTATAGCTTGTTATATATTTCAAAATAACAATATCTCAGTCACAAACCGTGGGAGTATTATAATATTTTTTGTAAAGGAATTTGTACGATCTTTAGCTAAGCAGCGGTATATCTATAGCAGCTTCGTATCTATAATCGGCAGGAGCAATTACTTGAGAATGTGTCATAACTAAAGAAGATATTTATACCAAATAAACAAGAATCTGAATGATGTAAAAACTGTCAATAGTTAGAATACCCCATATTATTATTCTATTAACAGTTATTACTTCATACAAATATTGTTTTTTGGATCAAAATATATGCTTAAATTATAACATTTTCTCATGTACTTCTCTCGATTATAAACTACGGGTGTTAGTGCAGAATGTACATAATATTGCGGTGCCTTGTCTGTTGCGAGCAGCTCGGTGAGGGTGTATATAGGTCGCAGGGCGCGCTTCGGTAAACTTGTCGCGGTCAAAAGGTCAGGTGTATGAGGGCGGGAAATGTCGATGAGGAGGCCACCGGCAAACCTGTGCACTGACGTTGGCCTAGCTTCCGCTTTATTAGATGGCAGGTTACTGGTTTCCGTCTACCGTCGACATTTTTATTACTGAAGATTCTCCCCGCCTCGATTTATTCTAATTCGATGGTAACGAATGCGACAGTGCGGACTCGCTGATTAACGAATGCCAGTTAACTGGGTTGATGAATTTTCATTTAAATAAACTAAGCTGTGTCCGAATCGAATGATTTGTTTTCGATTCTGGGTAAATAACGATTTTCAGCTTCGTTACGTAACGTTTGAACGGGAAACAGCGGAATTGAATTAAAATTAATGTATGTTTTGACGATTCCCTGGATCTTTATTATCAGTGTTTCAATAAAGATTTCACAATCAAAATATGTTTTGTTACAATTGAATCTAATTTATTTTATTTTTATCATAATCACTGCTTAACATTACGTATGGTGTATCTTATGGCTGATGATGATCACGGTTGCCTTCATAAAACAAGCTACTTGTACTGTAATTGTTGACCGATTGAAACAGTATATACTCATAAATACTTTAGATTAGATATCGATTACGCTTTTAATTGGGGACCGCAGGTTGAGCGTGTATGCGGTGAATTACGTGCTTTTCTAGCAAATATTAATATTATTAGAAAACTAATGATTTTTACAACTAAGTTGGCACTGTATAATGCTTTAATTAATTCTATAATAACGTATGGTCTCTCAAGTTACCGACGAATGTACAAAACCTATTAAGAAATATTTATAGTCTTTAAATACGAATTTTAAAATATAAAGTTTCATCTAATATCAGGCAGTAGTTTACTTCAAACTACATTCAGCTCTTTAAACATTGCAAAGTACTGCTCATCAAAAATCTCTTTGTATACCAGTTTCTCAAGGAAGAATCTTTTAATAAGTCTATAAAAAAAGCAGTTGCACACGAAAAGTTGACTCGTTTGATTACTTGCGGAAAACTAGTAATAACAGACGCGCAGAACACATATGGCACTCGTACTGTGAAATCCTTGTTACCCCGAATCATAAATAAATTAGATAAAGAGTTTCGAAACTCACTTAACGAAAAAAAAAAAAAACAATTAAAAACGTTACTTCTGTGTATGCTGGGTCGCAACGACCGAATTATATATATACATATACTCGTATATATAGCAAACTATGGCACATACATTAATCTTAGTGGTTTATAATATGCTTGGAAATGAATTTTATTAATTGTGTCATATTATTGATGATAAATAAGAAAAAGTTGAAAACTTTCTTGAATTTAATTTTCCTAACAGAGTATAGCTCTTACCTCATCATCATAACTAGAGAAAGCTCCTCTTGCAGTACACTCTCCAGGTACATCATATCTAGGTCAGATACGATCGCTCCGTTGATCACCATTATCTCGTCGCCTTTGATTATACCTGACACAGAATACAAATTGTTTGCTGGAGTGATTATTTTTTTGCTCCCCTTTGGAGGAAGCAAAAGCGAAACAAGGAATATTAAAAAAATATCAAAACCGAACAAGAACGCAATCCGATATCGTATTGATTACAATGACGAAGCATCTAGATTAACTCTGGTAATTCTTCCTTTAAGACTTTTGTTCTATATTCTATTGTCCTATCGTACAATAAACCTCAGGTCTTCTATCGGATGTTTTTGCAACAGGAAATAAAAAAAAAATAAACAATAGAAAACTTCGTTATGTTAGATAATCTCTTGGAGATATTCATATCAGCGTTTTTTTTTATTCTTTTTATATAGTTGTGGATTTATTTTTGTATATCCAAGTTTTCTGCTTAACGGAATCCATCACGTTGAAATTAATACCTACGTCGACGCTATATCGTAACAATTTTACCGTATGGAAACAGGGAGAAAAATATCTTGTTGTATTTCTTGCCGGTTATTTTACCTTGTGTTTAAAAGTTTAGTTTGAAATCTGTTAGCATAGAGTTTTGACTTTCACAAGTGCGTGTAACAGCTTAGACTGAATAAATGTCCATGTAGGCAAAGGTATTTGCCTGTTCAGAAATTAACTGAATTGCATTGTAAGTTATTTAAATGGTCTGTCAAAGCATTTTTCCTGTTGATACTGTTAAATGATTAAAGTCTATGTTCTAAGAGAAAGAGAATTTCCTACTAACAAAATTGTATTCGATTAATTACCTACATGCAAAGTATTATTTTAAAATGTTACGCAAAGTCTTCGCCTGCAAAATGACTGATATTCATCAACTTTCTACGTAAAGGAGTGTATAACAAGAAATAATGGAAAAGATAGTGAATTTTATTAAGTAATTTTGTGTTTTTGTTTTATCTAGAATATCTTATAAATATAATTTGACTGCTGCAATATCCTCATATGATATTATTATGGTTATTACAACAACGACTTATTTAGAGATCATTATTTGTGTACGATCAATTGAAAGTTGGTGATTCTTGGTTTTCGCTCACCATTTTGCATTGCAACACTTTTGTCTTCTACTCGGCTCACGTAGCAACACAGTTCGTCTTGGCGTTCAGCATTTTCTATCAGTTCAGCCTCCACGCTGAAGCCCCACATTTGCTCAAGAGTATTGCGTTGAAGTTCAACTTGGTACAGAATCTTGGCGCACACCTCTACCACTTCATGCGTATGTAACTGTAAAGAAATACATCGTAAAGCATTCCAATGATAAAGCGAAAAACTATCACTATGATCCAATATCAGAATACCATTATTATATTTGATTAATTTTGCATTCACAACGCTATACTGGAAAATATTCTTAATGAAATAATGCTTATAAAATGTCCCAGGTACTCTGAGATAGGACTAGAACCCATGATGTTTCGCAATCTGGGCGACTGCTCTATCCACTGAGCTACCCAGTCCTGTTGGACTGACGGTTTTTTCATGAAGAATATTATAAAACTATTTTCATTTGTTTTACAATCTTATTTGAATAAACATCGACGATTTTCATTTGACGAAACTCTTTTTTGTCTAGCAACTTAAATGAAATAGTGTTGGTGAAGCTGCGGAGTAAGATTTCTGCTCATAAATTTATATTTTATAAAAGAAATTAGTTTTATACTTGATATAAAAAATACATATGTACCTACCAAAATGTTGGCAGATCATCTCGAATTTGAATAAAAACGCATAAACGCAATAAAATTTCCGAACGTATTCCTTTTTCAGATTATTTAATATCTATCTAGAAATTTCAATAATACTCAAATAAATTCAACTTCTTATATTATACTACCCGACACGACTTATATAGTACGACAGTTTTACAATTGATTTCCATATTCATGTGAGAAAGACATATTTCCTTGAATCATGTGATGACACATAGCAAAAGAATTTGTGACAGGGGTGGTAGGGTAGTTTGATATACAAATAATATAGTCACTTGTATGTACAATGGATGTAGTGACAATCTGTCCACATGGCGCAAAGGGTCACAACAATTGATGATAGGGATTAGAGTCGGGGTTCTTGCATACTTACATTGGATAAGATTCAAGGACGCGTCTATTTAAGACTTTTGATAGTTCATACAGTAAGAATTATAGAACGTTATCATTAATTATAATATTTTAAATCTTCTTAAAGAAAAATCTTCACAGTTATTGATCTTTGGAAATTAATGTTTCCGATAGATTCAATCGGGGGTTAAATAGATGCCGTAGTTCCGTTTCTTACGTTAATAAAGAGGGATAAGCTAAATCAAAACTAATCTTCTGTCAGACCTCAATCAAGGGAGAATCGCTGTACTCAAACAGGCCCAAATCAACGAGCTATGAGAAATAAGGAAACTCAATATAACTGCGAACCTTCACTAAACGAACGGTGCGACCTCCGAAAATTAACTCTTATTTACTTATTTAATAAAGTAAAATAACTTCTTTAGGGTTATTTACATTCTAAACTCGTTGTTACCAAAAGCAACTGCGACATAACTTTTTGATAACCCCTCTACAGTATTGCGTATACAATTTTCAGATGTTATGGAGGTGTGCACTGTCAGACCCTACTCAAACGAATCTCGGTCACAAAACATTTATATTTTTCATTTCCTTCCGTAGATGCTCTATAAGATTTAATTAAAAAAAAATGTCCCACGTTTGCCTGTTTCACTTGATATTCTAATTTTTCACGCACCGCAGAAAACGTGAATCTCCAGGTTGCTTGATAATATGCAAATTTGTGCTGCTTTTTTTTAAGAAATTGCTCTTTAGGGATAGGGATACTGGATACAGAGTAGAGACGTTAACTTAATTACTTCGCTTGTTTCTAAACAGACGACAGTGTTGCAACGATTACTTTGCTTAGTGAATTCCCTGTATCCACTTAATATGTCTCACCAAGTGCTCTCAGCAATATAAATTATTTGATTAATTAAAATACCCTTAGGGCTCTTATTACTCACTTGACCAGCGTTCGTAATATTGAAAAATACCTTTTTTGATGCGTTAGTAATTACATCTTTTATGCTTGCCCTACTTCAACAGTACTTTAGATGAAAACATTAGCTTCGTATCGCAACCTACTCTGCACCTAAAGTACATGTAACAGTACATCACGTTACCACCTCACATACATTTCCTGCATTATTTAAAAGTCAATGTTTTAATATTCAAAACCAATTGATATACATGATATATATACATTTTCCGCTGTTAATGTTTAAGCTAGGAGAACTGTTTAATCCATTAAGGTTTAAAATCAAGTAAATCAACTTAGCAGTTTTATATAATCTATCTTCCTGTTTACTCTACTCACTACCAAAATCATATTCGGTAGAAAAGCTTAAAATAGAAAATTCTTTCTTTAAACTTTTAAAGAACGAATGTCATACGAAATATTCGATTGATAGATAGATAGATAAAAAGTTTATTTCTCAGCAACACACAATTACATCACTTACTAAACATTGACACGATAAAAGAAACAAAGAAGAACAAGAAGCAGAAATATAAGTTGAGAAAGGGCTCGGTGCACTAAAATCATCTAATGCAGATGAAGGTCGTTTGTTTGCATTTAATAGACACCGAAACTACAAGACTTATTTTATAAATTCTTTCACCTATGGGAAGCTCCATCGTATAATTATTAATAGCATTCTAATTACTGCAAAATATATTACACGCTGAAATCCGTAATTATAGCGGTTATTCTCTAACGTTTAAATTATCGTTGAAGCTGTAGGGTTGTCGCTAATCTAGCTTTAATGAAAATCACAATTTCATCAAGATATGTATGTAATAAACTTATCTTCATCAAGACATGTATGTGATAAAGTTTTCCTTTCGTTCTCAAAATTAAGTGAATTTATACATATACTTTAGATAATATTTTGGTACATAAATCGTCGATTTTCAGTTTGCTGAAATACTAATGACAACTCTGTTGTATTACTCTCTAAACTTAAATTCGAGTTTCTTTTAACGTGTTTTTTCATAGTCATTCGTCATCAAAGAAAAATAATTATACTCCTGTATACCGTCATATTAAAGTTTCATTATATTAACTTAGTTATTTTCACAATTGAAAACGCTGTTGAAAACAGAACAGGAATAAACTTTAATTTAGTCTAGTTTGTGCAACAGAATTGTTACTATTGTCTCGAATTTTTGGTAATTGTATTTTATTTTAGTGCAACAATGACTCTTATTTCGTATTTACTAAAGTTTCATTCGGTTGGTATGATTAAATCTAAATATATACGGAGGAATGTGTTTAGTTACTGCATTGAGTGTGCGAAAAGCGACTCGAACGCAACGACTGTAGTGTGTAACTTTCCCAAAAGTTTGCCGCCAATGCTAAACGCATAGCATGTTTAAATTAACTAGAAGACTAGTTTTAAGAAGATTAGTGTCGGACGTATTTCTCAACGTAACCGGGAGCATTTACTCTACAGGCGAGAGATGTATGGTAATATGTATAAATTATTGCGGCCCAGTAATAAAAAAACACAATTTAACTTATGCCCATGCGTATTTGACAAGCGTATGAATGAATTTTCTCGATGGTGGTGGTCACAGTAAAAGTAGGTAATACTTTCTCACATTATTATTACTACGATATTTACTATCGTTCGTGATTGGTTTCAACGTGTCAGCGTCTGTGAATTAACTTTTCTGGGTCTCTAGGGCCTGGTTGTTGTGCTCCATTGTTTCAGATATAATAGTAGTCTAGCTGTTTAATTTGGGTCTGAATACTGTATGTGATGTTGTTTAATATTAATTTTTAAATTTATTTTCAATATTAAGTCGCGTCTGTGTGGTTGGTAGCATTAGCTACTTACACTCGTATTATAGTCGAGTGAAGTAATTACTAGAATAAAAGCAAATATTAAAAAAAAAACAAACGAATTAGAATGAAGTTAGAAGTCCTTTGAACGTGGGCACATACACGTTCATTAACCCGGCTCCTGGAAGAGTAGAGCCACTTTTCTACTTTTCACTTGGGCAACTCCTGTCAGGTGCGTCACGTCGCGGGGGTGGCCTTTTTCACCCTACTAGGCTAGAGTGGGATAGATGGCGAAATTCAGCAGGGACCTAGAACTGCGGGGTATAACAAAAAGCTCGTGTTCAAGGTTACGAATAAAGACCTTAACAGTGGATTGGGTGGAAACAATAGATGTTAATATAGTCAGTACAGCAGAGGAGGCCAGCCACAGAGGCGAAGTGTCTGAAACCTGATAGAGGGCAGTAGTAGTCATCAGTATTGTGATGAAACGTAACGATATTTAGTCTGGACCGGTTCACTAATACAATTCTATAGACATTGAGTTTGTAGAACCACGATGTAGAAAGCAACCGGATACTACTACATTAAGTATTTCCACGAGAGTTGAATGATGAAATGCAAGACAATTCAGAAACCGTTGGGTTCTCAGATTTGATCTTCTTCTCGTCGAGATCTTAATAACTATCTAAAAAACATCTGCTTGGAGCTTGAATAGAACAGAGAACGCCACAAAATAAAAGATTAATTTAAGAAGATTCATTGCATTACTCGTCAGTTCAAGCCTAAGACATGGGCTATCGTGAGTTCTAACGCAGTTACTGTAACTGCAACTAAAGGTATTGTGGATATGTGGAGGAAATATTGTGGTCAACTATTTACCGATAGAAATGTGCGCCGTCGCCTGATATAGTTACAATTACGAGAGTTGCGCAAAATACTAAAGAACTTTCTATATTGAAAATCGAAGTTTTTTTTTATTTTTATTTTATTTTAAAAAAGGCTTACCAACTAAATACATAAAAGACATACTATTCACTACATATCAATAATTTATATCATATATGTACTTAAATTATAGGTATGCACAACATTCTAATACATATAATACAATTTCAAGAAAACAATAAGAAAACTATGAATTAAAAACTAAAAATACTCCTTACAACCTTGCAAAATAGTCTTTTTGAAATTAGCTAGACCCCCGCAAAAAATGTCTATATCAGTACTCTTAAATATGTGATTAAATTTAGCCATCATTGAACAAATAGGTGAGGAACTGCCATAATTGTTTTTTCTTAAATTAATAGAAAAGGGTTTATAATTGTGTAGTCGAGCCGCAACTCTAGGAACTAATATATTAATTTGTGTTAAGAGAGACGGAACATCCACTCCATGGTTTAGTAATTTGTATATAAAAAATAGTGACAGCTGTTCTTTACGTTGCCGTAAAGAAAGCATATTGAACTGATCCAACCTCTCAGAATAGCCTCCGACGCTACGGTAAGTGCCACTGATGAACGAAATTCTGTTAACAAACTTCTTTTGAATTCTTTCTATACGTTGAATACTGTTTTGATAATAGGGATACCAAACAAAAACACAGTAATCCACGTGACTACGAACCAAAGCAAAGTACAAAGCCTTTAGCGCATGAACAGATTTAAATTCCCTAGTACTCCTAAATAGAAACGCTAACATTCTAAGACATTTATTAATCGTGTTATTAATATGGATTGTGAACTTCAATTCAGAATCGAGAGCAACACCTAAGTCTCGAACCTGATTGACTTCTTTCAAAATCGTTCCATGAATGTGGTAACAGCTAGGAAACTTGTAATGTTTTCGAGAAATTT